AATAAATCTCTCAAATTCCAAAAAAAATTATAAAAAAGTGCTGAATAATTGCACTAACTATATTTCAATAAAAACAAATACATGTGATTAATTTTTGCTTTTTAATTTACTTATCAAGTAAATACCAAAACTTTTCCACATTTAATTGTCATTATAGTTATCATATTGGCTTGGTAATATCTAATAAATTGGGACAATGTTCAGGCCAGAATGCTGTACAACTGCATGAAATAAACCTAAACTCCAATTCTTATATTGTAATTCCTTCAATTCTACTTAGATTATATGTAGTTTGTATTCCTAAATATCCTCCTAGAAAAAGATTTGTCATGATAAAGCTCCTACCTTGAGAAAATTTGACTTTACTTAAAATAAATCAATTCTGTGGCACTAATATACTAAAGGTGATGTGAAATGGATATTTTTATATTCATAGCAATGCAGAATTCTTGTAAATTGCTGAAACATGAAATAACCAAATAAACTTTATTTGAAATGGATTTCTTAAGAACATAAATGTGTGTGTAATGTAACTTCTCAAACTTGTTAAACCATAAAGAACTACAGCAATTTCATAACATGAAGCACGATGTGTACAGAACTATGTAACATAAAATGTTCAGCTGCTAAGGTAGCAGGAAGGTTCCCAGAGATATTTTCATAAATCTGTTTCCTTGATCTTCTCATTCCACTTTCTAAAATTGTGGTGCCTGACTTCCTTTCTCTTTGAAGCTTATAGATTTCCTTTAGTTGACTGCATGCATTTTAAAATAGTTTTTCTTTTACATATTAGAAGAGTCAACAACTTATGGAGAAGATGGATGTAATATTGTATAGATTTAAGAAGTGGAAAGGTATGGTATCTTATTTCATCCATTTTACAAGTTATAGCCAATACTCATAACAAAAGACAGATTAACAAGAGAAAAGCATAACACATGTATACAATCAGGGCTTTACATGGCATGGGAGCCTTCAGGAATGAAACCCAGAGATCCAAGGAAATCTGTCTTTTTTGTTGTTGTTGTTAGGTCTTGCTATGTAGCCTAGGCTGACCTGGAACTCATGATCCTCCTGCCTCAGCTTCCCTAGTGCTTGGATTATAATTTACTGGTATATGCCTTCATGCCCAGCCCAAACCTTTTGCTTTTCATGCTTAGATATCATGAAAAATTCACAACCATCTTTGTAGAAATGTAATTGGATAGAAAGATGCGATAGAATGGTAAAACACTGAGTGGGGAACCAAGCCTTTTACATTCTTCTGGACTTCTGTGTTTACACTCTTCTTGGCTTCACTGTGAATGCAGGCCTTCAAGAGAGAAGGGCAAGGGGGGTGTTTGCTTTGGGGGAGAGGGTTCTAGTGTCTATGACCTGCCTTGGAAAAGAACTCTCATTTCTGTGACATCTTTGAGGAGAAAGATATGGGGAGAAAGGAAAAGAGAAAGTTAAAAAGACCTTGCTTCTAAGGCTTTTCCAATCTCTTTACTGTCATGTATTCAGCATGCCAGGTGCCATATTTTGAGGTATTATGCTTGCTTAAGGCCCACAGGATAAAAACTGCTTCCATGTTACAAGAAGGAAATGAAGGAGACATGATAAATGATATCACATTTTAACTTTTTATTTACTTATTTTTGTTTGTTTTGGTGGTGTTGGAGTTTGAACTCAGGGCTTCCTGTTTGCTAAGCAGATGTTCTACCTCTTGAGTCATAGCTCCAACACATATCACATTTTTATTTATTTATTTATTTATTTTTCATTTTTCTTTTATTATTCATATGTGCATACAAGGCTTGGTTCATTTCTCTCCCTTACCACCCACTCCCCCCCTCAATACCCAGCAGAAACTATTTTGCCCTTATTTCTAATTTTGTTGTAGAGAGAGTATAAGCAATAATAGGAAGGAACAAGGGGTTTTGCTGGTTGAGACAAGGATAGCTATACAGGGCATTGACTCACATTGATTTCCTGTGTGTGGGTGTTACCTTCTAGGTTAATTCTTTTTAATCTAACCTTTTCTCTAGTTCCTGGTCCCCTTTTCCTATTGGCCTCAGTTGCTTTAAGGTATCTGCTTTAGTTTCTCTGCATTAAGGGCAACAAATGCTAGCTAGTTTTTTAGGTGTCTTACCTATCCTCACCCCTCCCTTGTGTGCTCTCGCTTTTATCATGTGCTCATCGTCCAATCCCCTTGTTGTGTTTGCCCTTGATCTAATGTCCACACATATGAGGGAGAACATACGATTTTTGGTCTTTTGGGCCAGGCTAACCTCACTCAGAATGATGTTCTCCAATTCCATCCATTTACCAGCGAATGATAACATTTTGTTCTTCTTCATGGCTGCATAAAATTCCATTGTGTATAGATACCACATTTTCTTAATCCATTCGTCAGTGGTGGGGCATCTTGGCTGTTTCCATAACTTGGCTATTGTGAATAGTGCTGCAATAAACATGGATGTGCAGGTGCCTCTGGAGTAACAGTCTTTTGGGTATATCCCCAAGAGTGGTATTGCTGGATCAAATGGTAGATCGATGTCCAGCTTTTTAAGTAGCCTCCAAATTTTTTTCCAGAGTGGTTGTACTAGTCTACATTCCCACCAACAGTGTAAGAGGGTTCCTTTTTCCCCGCATCCTCGCCAACACCTGTTGTTGGTGGTGTTGCTGATGATGGCTATTCTAACAGGGGTGAGGTGGAATCTTAGCGTGGTTTTAATTTGCATTTCCTTTATTGCTAGAGATGGTGAGCATTTTTTCATGTGTTTTCTGGCCATTTGAATTTCTTTTGAGAAAGTTCTGTTTAGTTCACGTGCCCATTTCTTTATTGGTTCATTAGTTTTGGGAGAATTTAGTTTTTTAAGTTCCCTGTATATTCTGGTTATCAGTCCTTTGCCTGATGTATAGTTGGCAAATATTTTCTCCCACTCTGTGGGTGTTCTCTTCAGTTTAGAGACCATTTCTTTTGATGAACAGAAGCTTTTTAGCTTTATGAGGTCCCATTTATCTATGCTATCTCTTAGTTGTTGTACTGCTGGGGTTTCATTGAGAAAGTTCTTACCTATACCTACTAACTCCAGAGTATTTCCTACTCTTTCTTGTATCAACTTAAGAGTTTGGGGTCTGATATTAAGATCCTTGATCCATTTTGAGTTAATCTTGGTGTAGGGTGATATACATGGATCTAGTTTCAGTTTTTTGCAGACTGCTAACCAGTTTTCCCAGCAGTTTTTGTTGAAGAGGCTGCTATTTCTCCATTGTATATTTTTAGCTCCTTTGTCAAAGATAAGTTGCTTATAGTTGTTTGTCTTCATATCTGGGTCCTCTATTCTGTTCCACTGGTCTTCATGTCTGTTTTTGTGCCAATACCATGCTGTTTTTATTGTTATTGCTTTGTAATATAGTTTGAAGTCAGGTATTGTGATACCTCCTGCATTGTTCTTTTGCCTGGGTATTGCCTTGGCTATTCATGGCCTCTTGGATATCACATTTTTAAAATGTGATGAACAGAAACAAAATGTTAAAGTGACTTTTGTTGAAGACCACCAGTCTCTGGTTTTAAGAATTTTTGTTTGGGAAAATATTGGGAAGGGCCTGACTTTTGGATTCACCAAAGTGGAAGCCACCGTAGTCCCAACCCTATGAAGCCAAAAATATCTAACTGTGCAGCAGGGTTGGGGGAGGTTTGATGAAACTTGGGTGTTGAGGCAGTAGGAAAGATTATCAGACTGCACATTTGCACATATGTCAATTTTTCATAAATAACTTCTGAGTTGAGTACTATAAAATGTAATTTTCTACATTTTTATTTGTATTTTTTCATATAAAATACAAGTTGATATACTTCAAATAATCATACATATTAATGTATTGAAATGACAATAATAGTTACTTTTATTAAGTTTAGCTAAACCTCGACTTTACCCAACCTGAAGACTTTTCCTACAGAACTGATTGTATCTAGACTTAAACTAAAGTTTTACTTTACGAGTATAAAATTTTGCCAATTTAAGAATAAAACACAGGTTTTCCAAAAATTGCTTCTTAATATGAGTTGGAAAAGACCAAATATATATATTATGTTGAAAAAGATTAGAGTCTGTTAACTGAAAAGATGGAAGAATTTTGTAATGTTACATAACATGAGTGAATTTTAATCAATCCATCGAGTATCTATTAAGTCATTGCTCAGGTTGAGCCTGACTTCTATCTTGTCAGCATTATGTAGCACACCAGCCAGACAGCAAACGCCTCTCCCTCTCCCTCTCCTCAAATTTATCATACATATAAGGTTAGAAGAATATCAGACAAAAAAGAAAGAAAGAAAAAGGAGACCTTCCTCTTATGACTACCTTTTAGGGCATTATTAATTAGAGCACAAACTGTAGACGTACTCTATTTAGTAAAAATTAACACACTACATTCTAGTTCCCAACAATATAAAGTTTAGTCTGTTTTGAATAAAGCTTAAAATGTTATAATTTTTAAAACTTAAAATATTAGGAAAGTATGAGGGTTTCGTTTTTTACATTTTCTTAGCTGTCTTCTGAAAATGAATGAGGCTCAGTATTTTATTTTGACAGAGTTCTATTGCCTTGTAAACACATTCATTTTATGACTTTTCTTGCATTTACTTTGGGACTGTAAGTCCACCAGTTATTATTCCTTAATGATGAGGAAACTACAAGATGTTTTTTTCTAAAGATACAGTGAAAATATGAATATGATAAAGTGATTTCTGTCATAATAGCATGGAGCTGTAGATTAAATAGATCTAAAACCACTGTTTTGGCTTGCTACTGTACAAACCTCACGGTGCCATCTTCTCTTGCTCCAACTCTTCAGCAGCTAAAGAGTTCATTAAAAAAATATCAGTCATACCCCATTCACACTTAAGTCCATTTTCCATTATTATAAAAAAATATCTGAGGCTGGATAGTATGTAAATAAATGTAGTTTATTACTTTAGGATAAGGTAATACAGAGCATAGTAGATCAAGAGCATGGTGCTGGCTTCTGCTCAGTGCTGGTTAGGATCTCATGGCAGGTGGTATCACAGCGGTGGAAGCACAGTAGAAGAAATACATGAAACAGAAAACCAGAAGAATTCAGGAGACAGGTTCACCTTTTTTATTTTTTATTTTTTCGTGGTACTATGGTTTGAAGTCAGAGTCTCATGCTTGCTATGCTGGCACTCTTCCACTTGATCCACTCACCAGCTCTTTTTTGTGTTGGGTATTTTTGAGATAGGGTCTTGTGAACCATTTTTCAAGGCTGGCCTTGAACCGTGATCTTCTTGATTTCTGCCTCCTGAGTAGCTAAGACTACAGGCATAAGCCTCTAGAGCCTGGCAGGCTCACCCTTTTTTGACAACCCACTCTCATGAGAACTAAGTCCCCAAGACCATCATTGATCCCTTCCAAGGACAGCTCCCTCAGTGACCTAAGTGCCTCCTACTAGGCCCCATTTCTTACACATTCCACCACTCTTACATGATCACACTGTCTTCAAGCCTCCAGCACAAAAATCCTTAGGGACATACTCAAGCAATATCCAAGTCCTAGCACCTACTTAAACCATGAAGTGATCTGAGACCAAATCTCAGGTTTCTTTCCTCAGCCTCCAAGGCCTTATGTGACTTGATACTTTCTTCCTCATCTCTCAGCCATGCTCAACAGAGTCCTTCTTGCTTTCTCTCTTGAGTTACCCCTGTCTTCCTTCTATCTCTTGACTACAGTAACTCCTTTCATCCTTAGCACTTTTGTACTTGCAGTCACCTATGCCTGACACTTCTTTAGGACATACTACAGGTGCTTTTTGCATGTCCTTTTGATCTTACTTAGAATATCCTGTATTTAGTAAGAACTTCCCTGACTATATCATCAAAGAGAACTCTGCCTCTCAAATCAATGTCCTATCATTTGGTTATATTTTCTTTACACCTGAGCTATTTCATTTAGTAATTTTGGGTTTTTTTTCCCCTACTCTTGTGTAAACTCTTGCAGAATGACCCCTGTCATCTTTGCATACTGCACTATAGTCTCTCAATGTATATTTGTTGAAATAATGAAAAAAAAAACATCCTAGAATGCTTTGTAAATCCTGATGCATATCCAAATATTAGCTGAAGAATACTCAGGGGCTCTTTGATATTTGTCTCCTGGCAAGCCAGATAAAAGTATATGTAATATGTGAACGTGCATTGTCCTTAAGGACAAGTAGATGAGTGGCCACCTAATGTTCATGGGGCACACATTTTGATGTTGATTCACTTTCATCTCACGCTGCATCTTCAGTTTTGGCAATAAGGACAGGCTGTGAACTGAAGTGAAGGAAGCATTTACAATGCTGACTAACCTAAAGTGAAGACAAGAGTACCTAATTAGTCTTCCTTGTGACAATCTCTTTTTCGATTAATATTCTTCCTTTTTGAAAAGTCTAACAGTGGTGCTTATGTTATCGACTTTGCTGCTAATTAGTAGTGTTCGCCACACTCCTACACGTATTCTCTCCAAACTCTCCTTGTGTAACACCACCCTTGGAAAGAGCAATTTCAATTAGAGAGCAGGGCTTCTGAAGTGTGTATCACGTGGCCCATTATAAAGAATGTGTCCTATTATACAAGAGAAAAAGTCTCTGCTAGAACACAATATTTTATGTAACATGCCTGGTATATTGTTTAACAAAACATTTTACAGATACTTCATCAGGACACAACTTGATTAAGAAGCAGGATTAGCATTCACCCACATTTTCCTATTTCAAATCTCTAAGATGTTTTCTTGTACTATTTTCACCCTCGTCACAAGCTTATTAACTTAGGAATGAGGTGACAAGGCTTTTGTCTTCATATCTTGTAATTATAATTAATAGTAAGTTAAAGGGAGCAGAAAGCTTATATTCAAAATTTAAAGTAGAATGACTTTGTGGCACTTAGAACAGGTGCCAGGAAGACATTAAGTAGGAGCTTATTATTCTTATTAATTAAAACTTTTGGAAGACATCTTTGAGAGTGAAAGTCATTTTGTGGTTATAAAAGGGACATCTATTTGTAGATGGAGTTTGAGTACAGAATTTGTGCTGTCTTCATTTTGTCATGGCCAAGACCTAGCAGGGGCTATTCCCCATGACCAGGGACTGCTTTGTACCAGTTACACAATGAAAGGACGAGATAGGGGTGAATGTGTGCATAGCCTTCCCCATATGCCTCAATGCATTCCTGAAAACCTTACTATAGAAGAAACAACCACGAAATGCCCTACTGTTCACTTGTAAAATTATTTACAGTGAATGCATTTTTGTCAGAGAACATAGTGTTGGGGAAGACTGACCATATTCAGATAATTGTTTTAACCACTTTACATATATCAACATACTTGGTTTTTTTTCTTCACAAAAGTCTTGTGAGTCAGTCTTATGTTTACTAACTTTTCATAAATGAGAGAACTGAGTCTGAGAGATAACATAAGTAAAGCTACTACTTTTTCAAATCTTGGTAAGATGAATTTATAGACCCTGTCTATCTACACAGGGATGATGTTCATTGAGTTTTTATTATGTGTTTAGCACTGTTCTAAGTCTTCTACATGTACTAAATTAATTCTCACAAGTCTTATCATATCAATGCTACAGTATTCCCACATTTCAGATGAGAGACTGAGGCAAAAGCTGGCAAAGAAACATATCCAAAGACACATAGCTAGTAAAGACTGAAGTAAGAGTTTAAACTTACATCTTACTCCAGATCCCATGCTCTTTTTGTTTTTTAACATTTGTTCCAGATATGTAGTCCAAGTATTATTAAAGAAAAAATGTTTGAATTTAGGTAACCAGGAATGCAAAATCACCAATCATAAGAAAACAATACACTGCAAGCATAAAACAAGAGAAACAAAAGATAATTGAAACAGCCTTATAATGACTCAATATATTGGAATTATCATTAATTATTATACATACCAAGAAATAATGATGCCAAGTATTTAAAATTTTTTTCCCTTTTTTGTTGTGCTGGGTGGGGGTATATTGTGACATTTACAAAGGTTCTTATAATGTAGCAAATATATCATACTTGAATTCCACTGCTCTCCTTTATCCCCTCGTCTCCCCTTTCCTTTATCACCCCCCCTTTATTCTTGGAATAGTTTCAACAGGTATCATTTTTGTATTTACATACATGTGTACACATTTTTTGCGCATTATTCACTCTCCTACCCACTTTCCCCACCTCCTCCCCCTCCCACTAGTACCAAACCCTCCCCTTCCTTCCTGTTCCACCCTCCTGTTCTCATATTTTGAAGAAGAAAAAAGAGAACAGATAAAAAAAGAAAAACATGACATTTTTGCTTTTTTGAGATAAAGGGAGCTGCCTCATGGTATTTCCATGTATATATGTATTATAACACCATTGGTTTATCTCCTCTAATTTTCTTCATTTTACCTTAGTCCCTTTCTTATGGTGGTTTCAGCTGGTTTAAGATTTCTGTATTCATTCTTGTATAGAGAGTGTATCAATCCTATTCAAGTTCTTAGTTTCCTTCTTTTACCCTACCCCTCCTGTATATGACCAACCTTAGTGTGACCAGTGTAGTGGTGCAATGGTTCAAGCAGTAGAGAGCCTGCCTAGCCCATGCTCTTAATCACTAGTTTAGTCCAGGCGATGCAAATACTTTGGAAACAGAGATATGACAATTATAGCCTGTAGCCAAATCTGGTCTACCCACCTGTTCTTATAACTAAGGTTTTATTGGGACATACCCTTGCTCTTCCCAGTATGTTTTGTCTATGCTACCATGGTAGAGTTGAATAGTTACAACAGAGAGCACAGGACCCATAGACTGAAATATTTCTGATCTGGTCTCTTATAGAAAACAACCTCTGCTTTAGACCATAGATACTTCTTTCTCAATCATTTCTGTTTGATCCATCACTCAAATATTCTAAACACAGCCAGTGCTGTTTCCAGAAAACAAAACCAAAGGCAAGTGAGGTTCTGAGTTACTCTGCTGAGAAGTATGGACTCTGGAGACTGTGCTTGCTCATCTTCACGCATCCTGGCTCTGCAACTTCCTGGTTTTGTGACCTTAAGCAGATTTCCTAACTTCTATGTGCTTCAGTACCTCCATCTGTGAAAATGAGGATAGTAGTAGACTTACCTCATAGGAATATTTTTTTTAGGTGATACTGAGGCTTGAACTTAGGGCCTATACCTTGAGCCACTCTACCAGCCCTTTTGTGATGCTTTCTTTGAGATAGGGTCTCTTGAACTATTTTCCCAGCCTGGCTTCAAACCATGATCTTCCTGATCTCTGCTTCCTGAGTAGCTAGGATTGCAGGCATGAGCCACTTAACTTAGAGTAATATTATAACCAGGAATTGATGCCTATAAAGTGTTAGTTGTCACTCCTATTCTTCAGTTTCTTTACAAGACTGACTCAGAAATAAGCAGGATAGTGAAAGTTGAGGGCTGAGTATACAGGAGATTTTTAAGGATTCTACCACATTTATTCTCTAGAGACTTTTATGGAAAATAGTTGACTAAAATGCAATGTGCTTTTACTACCTCATGTACAATTCAAAGCTCAGAACATTAGAATAAGAAAATGAAGGTCGTAAATGCAACTTGTAGTCCATGTTCCCAGTAGCCTATGTCAATAGATGGTAGGAAGGGTGTTGCTCACTTGGTTTCTCCTACAGCATCAAAGTTTCTTAACTGCAACAAGTAATTCTACTAGGTGTTGTGGTGCCCAGATCTGTTATGCACACTGACAATTTCTTGACACTTTCTTTAACTGCTTTAACAATGACTAAATGACTTATGTGTTTATGATAATTGTTATGTGAAAATGCTACAGTCAGAATTACTGATATTTGTACATATAATTAACAAACTATGAAAGATTCATACTATACTACTAAGTAGTAGTAACTAAAATCATGAGTCTCAAAGCCAGACCTCTCAGTCTCCATTCATTACCAAATGTGAGCTTAAGCAATTTACATAATATCTGGATCCAAGATATTTTATTTAATCATAAAATAACAATACAATAGTGCTAGTATATCATTCAGTCATATATTTGACAAATGTTTATTGAATAACAACTTATGTGCCAATCACCATTGGGATTGAGCATGCAACAAACAAAGCAAACATAAGTCTCTGCTCTCATGAGCTTTCATTTCATTAATGAGAATTGAGCATTTAGTATAAGGTGTGGAGTGCACTAAGTTTTTAAACAATTTTAGATATCATTAATGGATACTAATGATTACAATAATGATGATGGCTTCAGACATCAGGGTTTCTTTATGGAGTTGGTGATAATGGTGGATTTCTGTAGGTGGGGAAATATTTCTGATCCATGGCTCTTAGCATGTGTTCCTCTTGTTGATCATACCCCACAAGTTATCTGAACTGTGGTCTGCAATTCTTTATGGGGAGTCTTAATAATTATGACTAAAAATTTGCTCATGCATTTATTTGGTGAATAATTCAAAGTAGGTATTCATTGATTATTATAAAAGGAAATAAATTCCTCTTATGTATGCTGAAAATATTTCTATTTACTTAAATACCATTTCATAGATGAGCTAAAAAATTATTTGAAAAATAAATTATCAGTACCAGAATGAAATATGTGTAGAAATATCAGCAAATCATTTCTAGAGGTGTGTGTGTGTGTGTGTGTCTATAGAGAGTAGATTCTCTTACTCGTGTTTTCCTTTCCATAATAGTTTTAGTTATCCATGGTCAACTATGGTTCATTGAAAAATTCCAGAAATAATTCATAACTTTTAAATTGCCTGCCATTCTGAGTAGTGTAATGCAATCTCTTGCTGTTCTGTTTCCTTTTACCTGGGATGTGAATAAATCCTTTGTCTAGCATATCCACTCTGTATATACTACCTGTTGAATCACTTAGTAGTTGCTTTGGTGACTAGATCAACTGTCACACCATCACAGTGCTTATGCTCAAGAAACCTTTATTTTACTTAATAATGTCCTTGAAGTGCAAGAGCAGTGATGCTGGCAAGTCAGTCAGGCCATAGACAAGCCATTAAATGCTTCCTTTGACTGGAAAGGTGAAAGTTCTTCACTTAACAAGGAAAGAAAAAAATGCTAAAAACGTGCTAAAATCTAGGGTAAGAACAAATCTTCTATCCAGGAAATTGTGAAGAAGGAAAAAGAAATTTTTGCCAGTTTTGTTATCATACCTCAAGATTCAAAACTTATGGCCAAAGTACATGGTAAGTGTTTGATTAAGACAGAAAAGGAGTAAACATGAAGCAAAACTGTGCTATAATTATTCTATTTTATCATTGGCTATTTCTGTTAATATCTTACTATGCATAATTTCTGAATTTAACTTGATCATAGGTAAGTATGTATAAGAAAAAATGTGTATATAGAGTTTGGTACTATCGTGGTTTTATGTATCCTTCTGGAGTTTTGTAATGCATCCATTGCAGAGAAAAGGGGACTGCTATGTGTATATAAACACATACACACACACACACACACACAAGTGCAATTTATATATGTAAATACACATACGTGGAATAGAAGAAGTTGTCATGGTACACAGGAACTCTCAAAGTGGAAGGCATAACGAAAGAGAAAAACACTTCCCAAACTGGCCACAATGAATTTGTTTATATCTTTTTTCATACTTTCTACGAATAGCATCCCTTATAGAAGTCATTTTGGAAACTTATCTTTCAAAGTTCGTAAAGACATCAATGATTTTAGCTATCTTCACTTAAAGAGGGTAATTTATCATCTAGTCAAGTGTGCATGTGTCTGCCAGGAAAGCTGTGAGCCAACATACATCATTCTTAGTAGCTTTAAAGATTTGGTTTGCTGTCTTGTGTGTATTTGAATATAGAATTGATTTCAATATGACATTTTTACCTCTCATGATTTTTTTCTTCTAATTAAGCTCCATGAATGTATCCTCTACCCAGTTTGGGCTATCATCAATTTTTTTCTTGAATTGGCCTTCTGAAAGTCACAGACCAACATTACGATGAATCGCAAAATGAATAATTTTCCTTTCACTATATTTAGTTTGAGCAGTAAAATACTGTAAAAAATGAAACAATGTTTTGCAAAGGGTCTTGCATTTGGTGGCTAAGGACTGTTAACTGAACTCTGACACCACCCGATTTCCAAAGCTTATTAAACAGTCCAAAGAAATGAAGCTTCACCTCATAATTTGGGGACCTAATGGTATTGGTGGGATAGATTCAAAAAAATTTCTCTCATGTAAGCTGTGAAATTATAGAGGTATGAACCAGAGCCATGATTTCTTTGGGAAACTGATTTCTTAAATTCCATATTGAGAAAATAACAAGATCAGTCATAGAATGGATTATGGGAGGAAAGGGTGTGTGATTACTGTTTTTAAAGTCATTGTTTCATTGTACTATCCAGGCAATCAAATAAATTATATGTTTGAGATAAGATGACCAAGCTGAAACTGAACAATTGTTGTTAATATTTATGCTGATATTTTGATAAATGTTTAACATTGGACTGGTTTGTTCCCATTACATTGTAAGACATAGATGAGTCTCTATATAAATAAGATTAAAGCATTGTCAAAGATAAAAATCTCAGGCATTAACCTTGTAGGATCTTGATTTTTAGAATAGTTTAGTTTCAATATTTAAATAGCTGCAATAATCGGAGCCTGGTTCAAATAATAGTGCTTAATATATTAACCATTAATTTTAAATACTTCTCATTTTCCTCTATGACTTTCTAGAGTGGGAATTGCCTTTTGCATCTTGAATTCATTACTGTAATTTGTGTACTGTTCATTGACTGAAGCCACTTTAACTAGAATGTTCACAGAATTTGAGCTCCATCAGTTCGTGTAGTGGGGCATGGAGTTAATGTTTCATTTATAGTGTTTATTATAGAACTATGATAATGTGGTGATGATTCACAATCTTTTCCTGGATAATGCCTGATTTAAGACAGACTGTAATCTGAAAAGAATTTTGATTTTCTGAAGTAAGCATGACCACTGGTCCAAATATCATAACACAAAATATCATTGGCATAACTTTTCTTCCCTAAAAAGAAAAAAAACAGAATTGTTGTTTTAAAGCCAATATTAGACATGCACAACCCTGTTATACCTACTAGTTCTTTTCTTCAGTTGAGGAATCTGAGATCTAATGAAGTTGAGTAGATTGATGGAGATCAAGAAGCTATTACTCTTAGAGCTACAGCTAGGCGGTAGAGCCTGCTGTTCTGACTTCTGGGCCAGAATGGGATAAACCATCATGCCTTGCTGACATGGGATATTCACTGCCATTCCATCTATTCATGTTCTGAAGCCATTTGTTCTTGTCCCCCTGTAACACTCCTTCTCTCTCCCTGTTCAGTGTTGTCACGCACCCCTACAAAGACATCCTAGTCTCCTGCAGTGAGGATCGCCTCTGGAAGGTGGTGGGCCTCCCAAAAGGCAACATGCTTCTCACAGGATCTGGTCACACTGACTGGCTTTCAGACTGCTGCTTTGATCCCAGGTCAGTTGTCTGTCCACCCAACCCCCACCACTCCCCTTTTTAGGGAGTGTGCTTATGTACGCTGTTTATTCGCTCAGCTAACTTTGAGGATGCTGTTTTTTCTCTGCAACTGCACACACTCTACAGAATTTAGAATTCTGTAGATAAATGTGCCTTTGACTTTCATTTTATTGACTTTAGATTGATTGCTGTTGATATTTAGTACATGTAAAACTTAGTTCACATGCTGATACATTTGACAAGAGTAATAAGCTTCTCAAAACAAGCATTATTAATACTCCTTATGCTTACAAACTCTGGGAAGGCACATAGATTTCTAGTCAATAATGCATGCCGGTGTTTACTTTGTCTCTCTTAATCTTGCAGGTTTTCCTTTTAGAATTAAGTTATCTACTAAAAAGGATCAGAAGGCAGGGATCAATTTCTTTAAAAATTCAATGACACTCAAGATATTAAAGAGAACAAAGTTCTGAATACACTGAACTCTGTAACTTTCAGAATTCACTGAATTTTTTGTATCAAAAAGACTGAGGGCTCATAAGGAATGGCGTTGTTAAACACACAGATACCCTGCTGCTGGTGGAGGGGAAGCTCCACCCAGATGGTCGTGGTCAGCTGCTACCACTGATCCTGATTGGTTTCTGTTGCTCATTGTTACTCATCACATTTTTCAATACTCTGGGATCTCTCTGGCTTAATCACTTTTGGGACCTGTCAATCTTGGTATGGCTTCTAAACGATTCCATTTGGAAGTTTTGTTCTTAGGAGGCTTCATTTTCATGTTTTTACTAAATTCCTTTTTCTTGAGCCATTGTTGTTTTATCTTTGGTGTGAATGTCAATAAAATTAAAGTGAAAGAAATAACCTTATTTAGAAATTTGTAAGTTAGTGTCAAGACTGAACTAGGTCTGTTTTAATTTTATTTTTTGAAAACCTTCTCAAAGTTTAATTTTTCCTTACTACTATATGTTTGAACTTAATTTATGAACATGTAGTATATTACGTATCCGATAAACAGAGCTGTGCCATTCTCTTATCTCTTAGAAACATAAAGCCCATCTTCTAAGCACCGCCAACACAATTAGAAGTGTAGCCTATCATTTCTGTAGCTACTGGGCATACTAATCAGATTTTGATAAAGCCCCATTACCATGACAACCAATGACTCAGAGATTTTTCTCATTAGTACTTGACCAGCAATGGTCCTTTTAATAGATCTTCTTGTTTCCCTACTCAATTACTGAATTAAAATGAGGTGAGATACATCATTATTCACTCATAATATGAATTTTCATTCAGTGCTTTGTAATGGCAGAGTTGTAAAATGTTACACTATTTTTTTTGCAATACAAAAAATATAAAAGTAATGGGAAAAAATACACTTAACTATAACCATTTTAAGAGAGAGATTGAACAACAAATGTTTTATTTGTAGAACTAATGAAGAAGAAGAAATGACAACTAGAAGTAACAAAAAGCTCTCTTTGATTTATTTGAGCTGGAGATAAATTCTGAGAGTTTATATTTCAGACCTCAAACAATTTATAATGCTTGATGTATGCAAATCAGCACTGATGGCTATGTACATATAAGATGTATGTAAATAATGTTGATGTTTTATAAGTTGTTGAAATTTGTGCTTTCTGAAATTTTAATTTGTGACATTTGATTTTCACTTTGTATATGTAATTTAGTCCATTAAAAATAGTCCATTGTCGATGATAATATTTCCAACTTCATCTATTATTTAAAATCATACATTAAATACATTGTATTTATATATGTTTATTTAATCTGAATTGAGGCTTTAGTTAATGAATACAAAGATAGTCATCTTCAGAGCTCAATTATGGGATCAGGGACATTTTTCACCCTTAGAAAAGGGTCAGGATGGAGATTGTATATAATAACATTTGCTTACCTCCTTTGCTCTTCCCATAAGAAAAATAAATTCATATATTTTCTTTATCTTTAATTTGTATTGCTGCTTTTTGAGTGATCTCTGTAACTGATAGCTGGATACATTCCAGTACATTTGAGGCAATGTTTCTTCTGCCAAAGTGGTATAAGTCAAATTTTATTTGGGGTCAATCCTATTTGATATTACTTGATATGACTGTAGTACACCTTAACTGGCCAAATCAGTCTTCTTTTTTGTTCAAATCAATCTTTACTGTCCTGCTTCCCTGTGATAGCAGACGTCTCAAATGCATAGACAACAAATACAGCAGGCGTAGCAATGTTAATGTCAGGCAAACGAGGGCTAACAGGTAAAAAATAAATCAAGAGTGTAACTGTCACTAGAAGACTCAGATAACATGGCTTGAAATATATAAAAGGAAGGATCTTATCAAAGCAGGACAATGAGGACAAACATAATAATCATCAGAGTCAAAGATGCGAGAGTATCTTGGAAGGGATTTTCTGTGAAGCAAAATTACTCGGGAATTAGAGGAATCAAAACAGTAAATATACTTCGTAATATAGTAGATTGAGCTCTATACATCATAACAAATACCTTGAGATCACTTATGGCTTGAGTTTTGAAAAGGCATCTATCCTGTATCCAAAATATGGCATAAATGATTTTTTCAGAGTAGAAGTTAATTAAGTCAAATTTTTAATCCAAATTCAATAAAAAGCAAAGTAATAAGAAATGAGTAACTAAAATACAGTATAGTATAGTTTGAGTGGTTAAAATGTATGTCAAGTAATATTGGGCAGAGATGATCTATAAACTGTTAGTACCTGCTTCACAAATATAATCAGAAGCACAATCCTTGTCCAAAAGTACCCAAAGCTGTGTTCAGAATAAATTTCATAACTTAAATACTTTATTATTTAAAAAGAAAGAAGGGAATTATGAATTCATATATAAAAACACTGGTTAACAAAATAAAGAAAAACAAAATGATAAATCATAAAACATAGAAAGTAATAGAATTAAAAGAGTAAAAAGTATATCTATATCTGTCATCTAGCTATCTATTCTATGTACATGCAGTAGTTTATTTTTTTAAGAGAAAAAATAGGAAAAGAAGGACCTATAATTTACTAACTAGATATCTTGGGAAATTTCTGGAAAATTGAAAGGAAGCAAAACTATAAACATTAGCAATTTGGAAGCAGTTAATACCACATATTCAGGGACTAATGCATATACCTTTGGAAGTTCGACATTGTCAGTACTGATCAAAATGAAGTAGAAACTCAGAATAGATTAGAAACAGTCGAAGAAGCAAGATATTTTATTATTGGTTTTAAACTTAATGCATAAACATCACTCAAGGCCTAACAAATCGTTTCCACACGATAACTAGGATCCTATTTCACAATTATAAATATAAAATGTCTAAAGACAGTATAGGAAATGGAATTTAGTTGAATGTTTAAAAAGAGTGATACGTGTTATTGAACGGAAAAATGAGGCCTGTTGAAACTATTCCAGGAACAGAAGGAGAGAGACTAAAGGAGAATAACGGGGGGGGGAAGAAGTTTTAACTATGATATATTATAAGAACTTTTGTAAATGTCACAATGTATCCTCAGTACAACAATAATCAAAATTAATAAATTTTTTAAATGTGGACAGGAAGGGAGGGGAGCTGGCAGCAGTGGGAGGGGGGAGGATATAAGGAAAGGGTGTAGCAGGGTGAATGCAGTGGAAATATCATGTACTCATGTATGAAAATGGAAAATGAGACATGTCGAAATTGTTCCAGGAATGGGGGAAGGGGAGTTAAAGGAGAATGATGGAGGGAGTGAATTCGACTATAATATATAATAAGAACTATAATAAATGTCACTATGTACCTCCAGTACAATAATAATAAAAAGAAACATTATCCTTTCTCCAAACATAAATAAATAAATAAAAAGAGTAATATGCAATGAAAAAATTTGTACTTACAAAGTCTGGAATACATAAATAATCCAAATTTAAGGGAATTTTATGATATATTAATAAATATTGAAAGTTACCTGAAAGTGCTTGTGTAGATTCTGGCATTTATACCTGTTAAGTCACATATGTTTGCAGTATTTTTAAGCCTTCTGTTTTTGTGTAAATTGACAAGGGAAATAGATTTTGAAACATCTGGGAACACAGACCTACAAATTGAATGTAAAGCTGGATGCCATGGAGTTAAATGGGTCAAAAGAAGAAGGGGTGTTTATAAGGATTCAAAGTGGAGAACAAAGAAGCAAAGGGGTAAAAATGTATACAGCAGTCCAGCTTGAAACAGGAGCAAGTGTCTGCTTGTCCAAGTTCTCATACGTACATGGAAGCCTGCATGCTTTTCCAATTGCTGTTTACTCTAAAAAAATGTTAGTCACAAGTCCTTTCCTGAATAATGATTACTAAGTTGTCATAATACTGACATTTTCTAACATATGCATAACTCAAAAAGAAAATGAATGTGGAAAAAGCATAAGTTTTATAAAAATATGTACGTTTCATAAAAATTAAAGGCACTTAAAAACTTCAATTTCAAAAAAGTCTCCCAAGGCTTTATTAATTCAAAATAACATTATAATGCAACTGGCAATTATCATATACTCTTTATAGTAAAATTAGCTCTATTTGAATCTAGTTTTTAAGTTCCTTAGGAAGACTTGGTTATGAAAATACTCTTTAGGAATGAATAACACAGGTTAACTCCCTCATCATTGAATAACCGGCTGTTACAACACGCTTACCACTAGATGGCGGCCATACATCGGTAGGTAAAGCACCCTTTGCATTTACTCGGAAGACTGATGAATTAGCTGTTCAAAATAACTCATCAGTTGTTGAAAATGATGAATGAGTGGGACAAGTGCAGGGAATGTCCACTGGTGCCGTCTTCTCAGTATGGTAGAGGGAAACATATGATGCCAGAAGGTAGGAGGCCATGCTTTATAATTGCACTCACGGGATCAGAATTTCAGGAGCCCTTGTTAGAATCCTAGATTAATCTTTGCTCATGTTATCAGTTTTCTCATCTACAACATGGGAATAA